TTTAAGTGGAAAATCAATATCACTGATGGCTACAATGTGATTTGGATACAATTATTTTTCTATATACCTGTGATCAGGTCAAGTGGGCATTAGCCCTCATCTTCAACTGTATGGCATTGTTCTCTATTGATGTCCATTGAAGCTGGATATTTAATTTATTTTCATTAATCTGTGATCAGATTTAGTGGATCTACTGGATGAACAGACCAACAAGCTTCCAATTATTCAACATCCAACTGCAAGCTCCTTTTCTAATGTGCGCATTTTAATAACATCTGTGGCTATAAAAGGAAGTTATCCCTCATGGGATGTGATTCGCCACTATGGCTCTACACTAATATTGTGTTGATTTAGTGAGCCCCTCTGCCTCATTTCAGATTTTTCATATGTGCTGTCTACGGTTGCAAGAAAAAGTACCGTATTTTCCGGCGTATAAGACGACTGGGCATATAAGACAACCCCACTACTTTTCCTGTTAAAATATAGGGTTTGGGCTATACTCGCCGTATAAGACTACCCCTCTACCAACCAATCACGGCAAGCGATGTACCAGTATTTTCTGTGCACACTGTGCACACTGCATACAAAGCCTGCTTGGATTGGGTGGGTCAGCTCTCCCTGCCTGCCCAGCCCTCCCTGTCTCCAAGATGATCTGAGAACTGCCACAGTTATTAATATATAATAATTAATAATTAATGTTAATTACCGTATTTCATAAAGGGGTCAAGAACTGCAAGGTACTGCCTAGCTGACGCTTCTGCGCATGTCTTCGGCAGCAGTAGACGATCGCTGATCACCATTCCTCGCAGAACTGCATGAGACGTCGGATGCAGCCGTTCAGTGCTCGATTGAGCTTGACTGAAACTGTGATATGCAGAGAAGGGATACACATCGGGTAGCGGCAAGAAGACGCTTCTGCACATGTCACAGTTTCAGTCAAGCTCAATCGAGCACTGAACGGCTGCATCCGACGTCTCATGCAGTTCTGCGAGGAATGGTGATCAGCGATCGTCTACTGCTGTAGAAGACATGCGCAGAAGCGTCAGCTCGGAAGTACAGGTATGGTTTCAGCACAACACCCGGCGTATAAGACGACCCCCGACTTTGTAGAAGATTTCCAGGGGGTAAAAAGTCGTCTTATACGCCGGAAAATACGGTATGTGAACCCCTTGGGATTGCGTGAAGTTTTGCATGAATTGGGCATAAAATGTGCTCTGAACATCATCTAAGTCACAACAATAGAAGAACACAGTCTGCTGAACATAATACTACACAAACATTAGATGTTGCCATGGTTTAATTGCACATAACATGTAAACATTCACAGTGCAGGGAGGAAAAAGTATGTGAACCTTTGGACTTAATACCTGGTTGACCATCCTTTGGCAGCAATAACCTCAACCAAACGTTTCCTGTAGTTGCAGATCAGACCTGCACAACGATCTGGAGTAATTTTGGACCACTCCTCTTCATAAAACTGTTTCAGTGTAGCAATATTCTTGGGATGTCTGCTGTGAATTGCTCTCTTAAGGTCATGCCACAGCATTTCAATCGGGTTGAGGTCAGGACTCTGACTGGGCCACTCCAGAAGGCGTATTCTGTGCTGTTGCAGCCATTTTTTGTTAAATTACTTGTATGCGTTAGGTCATTGTCCTGTTGCATCACCCATCCTCTGTGGAGCTTCAGTTGGCGGACAGATGGTCGTAAGTTTTCCTGCAAAATGTCTTGATAAACTCTGGAATTCATTTTCCCATCAATGACAACAATCCGTCCAGGCCCTGAGGCAGCAAAGCAGCCCCAAACCATGATGCTCTCTCCGCCATGTTTTACAGTGGGGATGAGGTTTTGATGTTGGTGTGCTGTGCCTTTTTTTTCTCCACACATAGTGTTGTGTGTTCTTCCCAAACAACTCAATCTTGGTTTCATCTGTCCACAGTATATTTTGCCAGTAGTGCTGTGGAACATCCAGGTGCTCTTTTGCAAACTTCAAACGTGCTGCAATATTCTCTTTGGACAGCAATGGCTTCCTCCGTGGTGTCCTCCCATGTACTCCATTCTTGTTTAATGTTTTCCTTATTGTAGATGTGTCAACAAAAATGTTAGCATGTGCCAGAGATTTCTGTAGGTCTTTAGCTGACACTCTGGGATTCTTCTTTACCTCATGCAGCATTCTGCGCTGTGCTCTTGCAGTCATTTTTACAGGACGACCAAGCCTAGGGAGAGTAACAAACAGTGCTAAACTTTCTCCATTTGCAGACAGTCTGTCTTACTGTGGACACATGAACATCAAAGCTTTTGGAGATACTTTTGTAACCCTTTCCAGCTTCATGCAAGTCAACAATTCTTGATCATAGGACTTCTGAGAGCTCTTTTCTGCGAGGCATGGATCACATCAGACAGTGCTTCTTGAAACCAGTAAACCCAAAACAGGTGTGTGTTTTTTTAAGGACAGGACAGCTGTCAGCAACACATCCAATATCATCACACTGATTGGAGTCAAGGTTGGCTCACTCCTGGCTCCAATTAGCTCTGGGAGAAGTCATTAAGCTAGGGCCTCACATACTTTTTCCTCCCTGCACTGTGAATGTTTACATGTTATGTGCAATTAAACCATGGCAACATCTAATGTTTGTGTAGTATTATGTTCAGCAGACTGTGTTCTTCTATTGTTGTGACTTAGATGACGTTCAGAGCACATTTTATGCCAATTCATGTAAAACTCCACGTAATCCCAAGGGGTTCACATACTTTTTCTTGCAACTGTATATATGGTGGACAATCTCCTGGATGGAAAGTTTATTTTCCAGAGTCTTGGATTCTGCACTGCTAGCTCATGGTGATCATCCCACTATGCGAGACTCTGGTTAATTGACTCATAATTAATGTTCATTTAAGACGGAAGGTAGTAGTAAGATGTCTATATTCATAGTATGTGTGGCCCAGGTCATTTTAAGGTGATCTTTTGGCTTAATAGGTTAATTACCAATTTTTGTGAAACATAATAAAGCTATTGGTTTTATTTACACCGCTGTTGGTTCTCTTTTAAACTTCTCTCCTTTGGGGGAACTCTCCCACCCCCTAATGCTTACTATCGTGTCTCTGGTTTTGAGGACGGTGATGACCATAGCACTGAGTCTTAAGGCTCCCTAAATAGGGAGAGGTAAAAATAATATAAAAATATGCAGATTTTATTAATTGATTATTTACACTCTAGCATACAGGCCTCATTGGTGGAGTGCTGCAGAGATGGTTGTTCTTCTGGAAGGTTTTCCTCTCTCCACAGAGAAATGCTTGAGCTCTTTCAGAGTGAGCATCGGGGGTGCTTGGTTATCTCCCTGGCTGCTGGGCGGCCCACTCTAGGAAGATTCCTGGTGGTTCCAATCTTCTTCAATTTACGGATAATGGAGGTCACTGTGCTCATTGGGACCTTCAATGCTGCAGAAAGTTTTCTGTACCCTTCCTAGATCTGTGCCTTGATACAATTCTGTTTCGGAGGTCTACGGACAATTCCTTGGACTTCCTGGCTTGGTTTGTGCTCTGACATGCACTGTTAACTGTGGGACCTTATATAGACAGGTTTATGCCTTTCCTAATCACGTTCAATCAACTGAATTTCCCACAGGTTGACTCCAATCAAGTTGTGGAAACATCTCAAGGATGATAAGTGGGAACAGGATGCACCAGTGCTCAATTTCGAGTATCATGGCAAAGGCTTTGAATACTTATGTACATGTGTTTTTTTCGGTTTTTATTTTTATTAAATTGCTAAATTTTCAAAACAAACTTCTTTCATGTTGTCATCATGGGATATTGTTTGTAGAATGTTGAGGAAAAAATTAATTTAATCAATTTCGGAATATGGCTGTAACATAACAAAATGTGGCAAAAGTTCAGTGCTATGAATACTTTCTGGATGCACTGTAATAGCTTCTGCAGAACCATTCATCAAGTTTGCTGTGCTACACAAAGTAGGAATAATGCAAGACTCAGGTCAGTGGGAGAAACTTTGTTCAAATGTTTCCATGTTTAAACCAAAAATGCAAGCAGTAGAAAACTACAATTAAGATATGCAGCAGATGCCTCTGGTCTACTTCAACTAGAAGCCACATCTGGGGTGGATTGGTCTGTTCCTAATCTGTGCAGTGTAACTTCCTCTTTTTGACTGCTGTAACACAAACTAGATTCAAAATTCCAAGGCATGTTTGAACCTAATTGATGCCTAAAAGCAGCTTACATTAAACCTCCTGTATGCAAGACAAAACTAAGTCTATTTTTGGTGTTTGGAAAAACCTCTCTTGCATTCCAAATATCTGGGAAATAGTGGTTCCTGGATCTTTAAAATACAGGCAGAGTGATAAACTACAGGTAAACATGGATTAATAAAAAAAAAAAAATCTGAGCAGGTAGGTGGTTACATTTCAATGTTTCCTTTTTTAATTTTAACTGGAATGTTTCTTTAAGAATTTACAGTATATGCTACCTCAAAATTGCATGACAAAAATACAGAACACTAAAAGTGTAACTAAAGGCTTTTTTTTTTTTTTCATGTTCGATACAGTAAGGGAGGGTTGAAACCCCCACACATTTTTTTGCCACCTAATTCCTATTGGGGAGATTTCCCTTCACTTCCTTTCCCACAACCTAAATCCCTCGAAAATAAGGGAATCCCACTGTGTCCCCAGGGTCACCAGAACTAGTGTTCATATTAGATTTCCCTTCTATTAGTGTTCTGTCAACCCAAAATTTGTTTTCTTTTACTTTCACATTTGAAAATGGCAAAAAAAAGGCAAATATAGAGAATGAATCTCCCTAACAAAAGCACAGACAGCGATAAAAACTGACAGGTGTCCTATTCCTTTTTGCGCTTTCCAAAATAAAAAAAAATAGTTCCACTATAAATGCATAAAATTTCGGGGATATGTATATACCCTTACTTAAATTTAAAGACAAGAGTTGTCACACACTGACACCTACTAACAAATTTCAGGCACCATACTGACCTTTCCTATGACATTACTGTCTTTTGGAACAGGGGGAAGCAAACATTTCCTCCTTGGCTGATTCACTAGATTTTGCATCTGTGTTTTCTTTTGGTTCATAATTTTAATGATGTGGTCCATCTATAAAGTAAAATCATGTCTGTAAGCACTGCTGCTAACATACAGTATAGTATGGTAAAAAATATAGTATCAACATACAGTAGCTGTTAGAGTAAATGTGGTACCTGGTCTTCGATGGGCAAGTCAATCTTTTTCTTCTTCAGTTCATTCTCTAGAGACACTTCTTTCTTTTTGGCTTCATCTGCCAGACCTAAATAAAAAGTAAAAAGTCATACGTATCCAGTTTTTTCTTTAATCAATTATATCCCAAACAAGCATGTAACTAGACCACAAAATCATTATGACTGATTTGCATCCGTAAATTAAAAAGAACATATCGATTGTCAGTATTGCTTTATAGCTCTGAATGCCAGCGGAGAACCTACTAATGTCACTCTGAAAATATCGTAATAGAGCACATCAGCAATCATGACCTAATATGGATTAGCTGCACATGGAAAAAATAGGATTTTTAAACTAATCACAAAATCATTTTTTCATTGTCCATGGAGGACACAACTTGATGATAATGAAGCAGTGTAGGGTTGTATTGCCGCCTACAAGAAAAAACACCAGGTGCAAGGAGACTGAAGCCCCGCACCCTTGAGGCCATTATCCTTCCCACCCACCTCAAAACTGCTCATTTGTAATTTATAGTAAGCAGCCCAGGATAAAACAATAGAATTTGAGGGGAAAGAGTGGTGTCCCTCGGTGGACTGCAAGAAAAGGATTTTATGGGGAGTAAATTATTATTATTATACAGTATTTATATATAGCGCCAAAGGGTTTGCTCAACGCTGTACAATAGCAAGGGGGACAGAACATGAGACAAAACAGTAGCAGTACAATACACGAGGGGTTCGAGGGCACTGCTCTTTCGAGCTCACAATCTAGGAGGGAGGGGAAGTGGTACAGGGGGAAGTGGTACAGGAGGAAGTGGCTGTGGGGGATGGAGTGGTGGGAGAAGTGGAGGAGGTCAGTTGTTAGGTGAGGGTGGGGTAGGCTTCCCTGATGGGTTTTCAGGGTGCGCCTGAAGGTGAGGAGGGTAGGTGACAGTCTGATGGATTGGGGTAAGGAGTAAATCCCATTCTCTTCAAACCTCTATTGAGGGATACAACATGATAATTAAGCAACCTATGGCTATTCAAAGGCAGCTCAAATAGAGGGGCAGGCACACTAAAATGAATTACGGCAAACAAGTCCAACAAGACAAAATCAAAGTAAAAGGGAAAACAAGTGCATTACATAGAACTTGGAGAATGCACATACAGAAGAGCAGGTCACAGTCATACAGAACTGACACATACAGCAGGGCCACCAACCATCTGTATTTTCAAAAACAGAAAAGAAAAACAAAAAAAACATCCCCCCCCCCTAGTAATTTGTCAGGTCTGTAAAAGTGGGAGAAACTATTCATCAAAATATAGTGCTTGGTTGCGGCTGTCAGTTCCGTATGTATGTGACCCTCTACCAATGCCCAGATATCTCCGGGCACTGTCCACCCTTGCATTAAGAGGACAGAGGTTGGATCTGCTCCACGTTCTGCTTTAATCCATGTGTCCTCCACACTCCAACCCCTGGCGTACCATACATGGCAATGGCAAAGTGCTTGTCGAAGGGGTTGCATGGGCAGTCAGGCAGCAGAGTGGAAACAGAGTGTACAGCTCTACTTCCTGGCTGCCTGAGCCTTTGGGAGACCAGTTTGGGCCCTGGGGGTGGGGAAGCATAACTAATGAGTTGCCATTCTGTACACTGAACACTCTCCCCCCTCTCACTCCCTGTCCCTCCTTCCCTATCCTTACTGCTTCACTCTATATCCTGTTATATTTTACTTGCTGCTCCTGACACCTGCACCTCTATACTAGGTTGTGCATTACGTGTTCATTGTCTCAACAGTTACGAGTTTCAATGAAGTTCTTCTTTAAGATTTCATGAAGGAGAAAGTTAGAGACCACTTTGGGTATAAAGGAGGTTCTTGGCTTACAGGGCCTTTCTGATCGATGTGGTGGCTTCAAGGAGAATACCTTACAGTGTCGTAACGTCAGGGAGATGTCACAAATAGGTCCACATGGACTTCTAGCACTGACAATCTAGATGCAACTCCCATGAATGGAGTTGATGCCTAACAGTGGAAGCAATGTGTGTAACCCCTTGTAGAATAGTAAGAAACAGCAATAAAAATACATAAATTAAAGCAATAAGACATGGTAAAAGAACAATGTACACACCCGTGTTCTGATTGTGCTAAGGAATGATAATGGTTCAACCCCCAATTGGAGGAAAGAAGAACATAAATAACATAAGGGAAGTAGAGATACAGGATTAAAGCATGGTGGGATAGTTGAATCTGAAATGTTCCCCTCTCTCAAAACCTGTTTTTCAGTCATCAAAATTATCAACTGAAAAGCAGTGTGAAAGATCAGTCCTTGAAAAAGCAGATCTAACCGACCTTCCAGGAGGCCATGAAGAAGTATCAGTTATTAGTTGAACAAAGACTTTAATGCGCTTAGCCTTGAACTTTTGAAGTAGACAAGGTAAAGAGGCTCAGCATAGGAAAGCTATAGATCAGGGTACACTGATCCCACGGTGCTACCAAGGCATCAGCTGCATTTGCTGTCGCATCCCACATCCTATAAGAAATCAACATCTAGCAGCCAAATGCGGATATACATTACTGTGCAATAGTTTTAGACAGGTGTGAAGAAATGCTGTAAAATAAGAATGATTTCAAAAAATATATATTTTAATTGTTTATCTTTATCAATTTACAAAATGCTAAGTGAGCAAACAGAAGAAAAATCTAAATCTAATTAATATTTAGTGGGATTACCCTTAGGATTAGAGTCAGGTGTATGATTAACCAACTATACGAAGCAGGAGCTAATGATCATCAATTTTATGTGCAGGTTGAAGCCAAGTCATTAAGCGAAACAGAAAAGGCTGTGCAGCAGCATAAAACTGTATGAGAAACAGCCAAACTCTGATACTAAGGGGAGGTTGGGGAACACAGTTTCATGTCACAGATCATATACCATGGCAAGGCTGAGCACAGCAGCAAGACACAAGATACTTACACTGCATCTTATACTGCAAGCTCTCTCCCATACTCCCCCTGGGGTTTTAAGATGTGCCGTTCAAGCTCTTTTGAAGAAGCACAAAGAAATAGGCAACACTGAAGACTATAGACTCAGTGGTCAACCAAGGAAAATTAATGCAGCATAAGAAAGACACATGCTTACTTCCCTTTGATGGAAGATGTACAACAGTGCCAAAGCCATACCTCTGACATGGAAACAAGGCTAAGTGACTCAACTATAAATTAATAAAGGTAACTCGTGCATTGCCACCTACACCATATAGATTATAGGATCTAAGCTGCTGCCGACACCTGTGTGACCTACCACAGAGAACAGGATTAGAGTACAGTATATATGGTGTAGTAAAAAACTTGTAAAAAAATAAATAACATTTATAAAATACAATTCTTAAATACATGAATAAGTGGTGGAAAGCATAATCCAGTGCTGCAAATCTTCTCTGATAAATAATTACCCAAAAATTAACAGTGATAAGAATAAAAATGGAAGTGAAAATATGTATGTGTTTCAGTGTAATAAGCTGATAGTAGTTACTGCTGTGCAAAATTCATAAATAACTTAAACATATTAGCATATAACTCATGTGATCTCCAACTTTCAAATAAAGACACTACATGTGAAGCCACCACATCGATCAGAGCTGCAAGCACTAAACAAATTCTTCTAATTTCATAATCAAATAAATATTTACATAATAGAGTGAGTAAATCCAAAGCTCGTGTACACAAAAAAATCCATAATAAATTAGTCCTCCCTTAAGAATAAGTCCCCAACGTGATGTGGAAAGAACCAAACGTGCTCCACCAACGTGCAGAGTGATTGCTTGCCTTCAATATTGGCTCATATTCTCATATAAGTCAACCATGCTTTGTTTTTGGAGTCCCAACTGATAAGTGCTGCACTCTCTCCGCCTAGTGTAGGCCACTCACGTTGGGTAACACTGGTCATCAATGGTAATCAGCAAATGTGCAAAAAAAGTAGATAGGACCGGAGATGATAACCGGAGATTACCCAGCAGAGTGGTCTACACTAGGCAGAGAGAGAGAGCAGCACTTACCGTTTGGGACTTCACAAACAAAATGCGATTGACCTATATGAGAATATGGGTCAACACTGGAGGTGAGCCACTCTGCACATTGGTGGTGCACGTTTGGTTCTTTCCACATTACATTGGGGATTTATATAATTTATAGCATATGGAAGAACAAGGAGTCCTGGAAGCCCTGATCAACATCGAATCTGTCTGGGATTACATGAAGTGACAGGAGAATTTGAGGCAGCCCACATCTACAGAAGATCTGTGGTTAGTTCTCCAAGATGTTTGAAACAACCTATCTGCCGAGCTCCTTCAAAAACTGTGTGTTAGTGTACATAGAAAAACTGAAGCGGTCTTGAAGGCAAAGGCTGGTCACACCAAATATTGATTTGATTTGGATTCCTCTTCTGTTCATTTACTTTCCATTTTGTTAATTGAAAAAAAAAAAAAAACAAAAAAAACTATTAAACACTTATGTATGACAGTATTCTTAATTTACAGCATTTTTTCACACCTGCCTAAAACCTTTGCACAGTAGTGTGTCTTGGAACACCTCTGATGAAGTGCGGATTCCCCCAGTTCCAGACATTGTCTGCTGAGAAAATATGATTGCCAGTTTTTAACTTTGAGATTATGCACTATGGAGATTGCTTTAACATGAAACTCCATCCAGGACAGTATAGATTTTACCTCCAGGTTCGTCATGGTGACCCCAATGACTAATGAAAGCCACTGATGTAGCATTGTCTTATTGCTCATAGACTAGATGACCGTTAGAAGCGGAGTCCAGTGAATTAAAAGAAAAATTTAAGAATCACAAAAAAATAAATAAAAAACTAGGCTGTCACCATCTCTCTGCTCTGTCCCTCCAGCGCTCACTGACGCGCTGGGATATGGAAGCGGCGGGAGAGGCTGGCTCAGGCTCTCGGTGCATCGCTGAGCCAGGTGACGGTCCAGACTTCTGGGTGGATCCCCATTATATGGTCGAAATCTTTTCAAAGTCTGGACCAACTCTGTAAACTCAAAAACAGGTTACAGGAGTGCAGAACGACCTGTACTCCAGTGACCCACAAGTAC